GGCGCGGGGAAGGCGGGGGACTGGAGGAGCAGAGGAAGGGCCCCTCAGGCAACTCCCTGCCCGGAATTCGGATTCCCCACCCCCACCGAGGCCCTGCTCTTGGCCCGCACGGAGCTCAGGGGAGGAAGGGAGTCAAGAAGGGGCTGGAACACCAGCTTGGGCAGCTCAGAGCTATTTGCGGTGAGCTGTCAGCGCTGGCCCAGCCCTCCAACTTGCCACCTACTCCCCTTTCCTGATCCCCAGCCCCCTCTGGCTTGTCTTTAAATCAGCCCCTTCCTCGGGCCCAGCTCACTCACCATGTTTCAGCAGCTCAGGCCTGCCAGCCGCAGACTTCGCGCAGTCGGTCTCCCGCGGGCGCCGCCGGGGCTCACTTCCTGCTCCAACTTTCAGCCCGCCCCGCGCACCTCGCGCCCGGCGCGGGGCCACACCTCGCGCAGGTTCCCCAGGTAGGCGGGCGCCCTCCGCCGCCCTCCCAGTCTCCTCCCCAGCCGGGGCTCGGGCTTAAAGCAACAGGGCTCCCGGCGCCCGGAGGCCTCTAACTTGTCAGGAATCAGAAAAGGAAGAGGAAGCAGCCCTCTGAGGTTCTCTGAGGCCGGACCTCTGAGACAGAAAGGGCAGCCGGCTTCTTTTTTTTATGCCGAATAGCTGATTCCAATTTTTAGAGATTGAAATCAACTGAAAACCCCCTGCCAGGCCTACTTCACATGGAAGCAGAAAGCAGATAGGAGTATTTCTTGCTCGACAACCCTTGCTTTCTTGTCCTTGCGTGGGCAGAAAGCACTAATCCCCCAAAGTCTGGAATGCAGTGATCCTGGGCGCAGGTATCATCAGAAAGCTCTGGGCTACACACTGCATGACCCCTCGTGAACGCCTTCACCTCTTTGGGTTTTGCAGGTGCCAAGGCCAACCTAAGAGGGTGGTAGTGAGGAGTAAAAGGAGAGTCCCTTCAATGTGTTCAGCACAGTGCCTGGAGCAAAGGACTGTCCGCTGTGTGAATCAGGAAATTATGGCCCACCAACCCCTCCTTTCCTTCCAGAGTTCAACAATCTTGCATTTCCCTTCAGTGGCCACCACCACTAGGGTTGGTGAGTCCAATCAGAAAAGGTGAGAGCACAGCAGGGCATGGCTCAGCGGTTGAGCATCGACCTAGGATCCCGGAGATCGAGGTTCGATTCCTAGTCAGGGCAAATGCCCAGGTTGCCGGCTCGATTCCCAGTCAGGGGTGTGCAGGAGGCAGCTGATCAATGATAACTTTCTCATCATTGATGTTTCTATCTCTCCCTCTCCCTTCCTCTCTCTGAAATCAATAAAGATATATAAAAAAATAAAATAAGATCAAAAAAAAGAAAAGGCGAGAGAGCTGCCATGGACCAGAGAGGGGGCCCAGGGCAAAGAATTTCTCCACCAGCCTGGCTCCAGGCCAGAGAAAATCCACTCTTCCTGGATGGTGTTTATCAAGACCGAAGAATTACAGCGACATACAGGAGAGAAACATTCCTGCCTCATCCCAGAAGTAACAATTCCAAGGGGGAAATGTCAGCTGCTCTAACAAATACTTTTTAAAAGAGCTAATAAATTTAGGGCCTCTGTAGCACCTTGAGACACTTTATTCTAATTTATAATGAAATCTTATCCCCAGTTAGATAAGATTATTATATTTTGCAGACCTGAATTTGATGAACAATACCAGCCTGCTTTCACAGAGAATTTGGCTGCACCACTCCTCTGTATTCATAGAAAGGCTACAATGTGGCCAGGTGGAAGTGGGTCAGAAGTCTTGATCTACTCTTGCACTGTCCAATACAGTAGCCACTGTCCAATACATGTGGCTGCGGAGCACTTGAAATGTGGCCAGTGTGAACTGAGATGTGATGTAAGAGTAAAATACACACTGAGTTTCAAAGACTTATTCTGAAAAAACATAAATATCCCATTAGTAGTTTTGTATATTGATGGCATGTTGATTAACGTTTTGGATATATTGACTTAAATTAAAAATATTGATAAAATTTATTTCACCTGTTTCCATCCTGTTTTAATTTGGCTAGTAAAAGATTTTAAATTACAAATGTAGTTCAAATTATATTTCTATTAGATATGGTGATCTATTATACCTTCATATTTTTTAAAAGATTTTTTATTGATTTTTAGAGAGAGAGGAAGGGAGAGGGAAAGAAACATGGATCCACTGCCTCCTGCATGCCCCCTAACAGGGATCAAGCCCCCAACCTGGGAATGTGCCCTGACAGGAAATTGAACTGGCAACATTTTGGTGCACCAGATGACATCCAACCAACTAAGCCACACGCCAGGGCTATACCTTAATATTTATGTGACCTTGGACAAACTTCTGTAACATCTCTAAGCCTCAGTTACTTCATTTTCTGTGTCTAGCACTTAGAAAACCCTCAGGAAATGGTGGCTATTGTGGTTACTATTATTAAGAGCTCCAGATGCTAAGTGAGGTGGTGGATAGGGAAACAAGACAGGTGCCAAGAAACAAAAGGCCAGAGTAAGATTTCTGAGGGGAGCAGGAAGCAATAGAGTAGGATCCCCAGGGCAGGAATCAGGGTTACAATAGTTGAGAAGTTACTGTGGTCTGGTATGCCACTGCCAGGACATACATTGGTGTCCTGAAGGAACTGATGCTTTGCCTAGACCCAGCAGCCATCAGGGAGATTCCAAAGTGGCCACAGTTGGGCCTGCATCCTATTCGCCCTCACCTCCACCATGCAGAATGCCTACAGGTTTGGCCTCACCTGTGCAAATATCACAATGTTACCCTTTGTCATGACAAAGACCACTTTGCTAACACCTTCACAAGGTGAGACTTACCTCACAAGGTAAGGCACCCAGTAATTTACTATGAGCAGAAATGGTACTATGAGCAGGGTACAAGAAGACAAACAAAAGTCACTGATTCCTTTACAGTCAAGGAAAGCTCTATCCCAGGAGAAATGGACTCTCTGTCAGTAACTTGTAAGAAAAAGATGCAAAGTGGTAGGAGTTGCAGTCAAAGAAGCAATGATAGTGTGATAAACAGAGTTCTCAGTCCCTGTGTGGTCAGAAGCCCTCTTTCGGATCTCTCAGTTCAATATCTTCAACATTTAGTGAGTGCCTACTATGTGCAGGGTATATGTTATTTTCTATGAGGGGTACCAAAGTAAAGACACAACCCTGCCTTCACAGAATATAGCGTGTTGGAGAAGTCAAATGTGTATGCAGTTAATAACAAAGCATATCACAGATTCTATAAAAGGTAAAATATGGTGTAGATCAGAAGGAACAAACATTTGTTTGTTTATTTTGTTCTTTAGATTCCACATATAAGTGAAATCATATGGTATTTGTTTTTCTCTGTCTGACTTATTTCGCTTAATGTAATACTCTCTAGGTCTATCCATTTCTTTCACAAGAGGCAAGATTTCATTCATTTTTTATGGCTGAGTAGTATTCCTTTTGTATATTCCATTTGTATCACAGCTTTTTAATCCACTCATCTATTGATGGGCACTTGGGTTGCTTCCTTGTCTACTGTAAGTAATGCTGCAATGAAAATAGGGCTGTATATATTCTTTCGAATTAGTGTTTCAGGTTTCTTTGGATATATTCCCAGAAGTGGAATCACTGGGTCATAAGGCAATTCCATTTTTAATTTTTTGAGGAACCTCCACACTGTTTTCCATAGTGGTTGCACCAAGAGGAAGATAATTTTTATTAGAAGAGACCCATGAAAAAGTATCTTTCCTAAATTTTGGACTACTTTGTGGATAAATGAATGCTAAATGCCATGAGTCTTTGTATATTTATCTTGAAAGGATATACTGGAGATCAACCCCTTGAACAAAAGCAAATGAAAATCACGAGATGAGAAGTGTTCATTTATTAGTAGTATTTCTCTTACCCAGAATGCTCTCAGTTTACCCAAGACTTTTAAAACACACTTTTATTTGATTTTTTGATTTTTTAAGAAGGGAGAGAGAGAGAGATTTGTTGTTCCACTTATTTCTGCATTCACTGGTTGATTCTTCTATGTGCCCTAACCGGGAATCAAACTCGAAACTTTGGTGTATTGGGACTATGCTCTAACCAACTGAGCTACCTGGCCAGGGCTTAAGAACTTTTTAATAAGACTAGTAAGGCCCAGCCGGACGTAGCTCAGCAGTTGAGTATTGACCTAGGATCCAGGCGATCGGGGTTTGATTCCCGGTCAGGGCACATGCCCTGGTTGCGGGCTCGATCCCCAGTCGGGGGCGTGCAAGAGGCAGCCGATCAATGACTCTCTCATCACTGATGTTTCTATCTCTCTCTCCTTCTTCTTTCCTCTCCCTGAAATCAATAAAGATATCTTTTAAAAATAAATAAAATAAAAGACTATTAAGAACTTTTGATTTCCTTCTCTCCTCTCAAAATTGTACTCATCATTCAAAGCCCAGCTCAATCTTTTGAAAAAACTTTCCTGATTTCTCCAGTCTTAATTAATTTCTTTCTTAATGTTCCCATAGCACTTTGAACTTTACTTAACACTTATGGTTTTCTACATTGTTGTTATTCTATTATTTCTATATTCCTTTATTATTGTTTCCTTACCCTTAAACTCCTATAGGACAGAGGCCACAACTTAATTTGTCCAGTTCTTGGCACATAGGTTATAAATGCTGCACTTAATGGAACCATCACCTTTTGAGTGGTCCCAGAAGAGCTAGCTCAAACATCCCAACCCACACTGAATTCATTTGGACTGAGGTTTGACAGTGGAATAAGACATCTATCACCTAAATAGATCTATGGCTTCCAAAGTGACTTGGCTCGCCTTGCCTGTTAGGATGGCCTAGAAGTGGGCTAGACCCTCAACAGCAGGAACACTGTTAGCCCAGGAATTCCATCTGCCAAACACATCTGTCCTCAGTAATCCCAACTTTTACATCTACCCCTACCAGCATTTTCTTATAGGATAGTGGTCCTCGACACATGGTCCATGAACCCCTCGAGTCTTCAAAGACAAAACTACTACAACAATACTGAGATGTTACTTGCCTTTTTAATGGTGTTGACATTTGTTTGCACTGATGATGCAGAAGCAAAGGTGGGTGAAACTGTTGACAACTTAGCAGAAGGAGACAGTGGGACCAACTTGCAGTAGTAGTCATTGCCTTCCTTCCTGCCATGCACTTGCAATTTTTAAAAATGCCATTTTCAAGGAAAAATACCCTTAAGGAAGCAGTACAATTAATAATTTTATTAACTCTTGACACTAGAGTACACATATTTTTACTATTTTGTGTGAAGAAATGGCAAATGTGCATCCAGTGCTTCTGCATACCCAAGTACAAGGGTTGTTCACAGTTGTTCTAAGAAAAAGCATTTGTGCAATTAAACTACAAGCTGAGCTAACCTTCACTTTTAAATTATCAGGCTTTATTTTTTGAGTAGTACAGTTCCATGCATCCCTTCACACCCTCCCAGTTTCTATTGACATCTTACACTTTTTACAATTGATGAGCTAATTCTGTTATATTAACAAAATCCATAGTTTATATTCACTCTTTGTGTTGTACATTCTATGGGCTTTGACATATATATAATGACATGTATGTAGCATGACACCATTGCATTATCATACAGAATAGTTCCACTTTTCTAAAAATTCCCTGCGCTCTACTTATTCAGACCTCCCTCCCTTCCATCAGTCCCTGACAACCGCTGATCTTTTTGCTATCTCCATAGTTTTGCCTTTTCTAGGATTGCACATGCTTTGAATCATACAGTATGTAGTCTTTTCAGATTGGTTTCTTTCACTTAGCAATATGCATTTAAGTTTCCTCCATGTCTTTTAGTGGCTTGATAGCTCTGTTTTGTGAAAGGGCCATGTATGCAAATCAGCCCCCAAAAGCCAAAGGGGCCAGTAAGTCAAAAACTGAGGCAGACAAGTCCAGCTTGTTGATTTAGAGAGTTTAATAGGGAACTTACATACAGAAAGAAGTCTTGGGCAGCAGCAAGAGGAGTGGATCCCCGCACCTTCCACCCCCAGATTCTAAAAGCAATGAGATCAGGAGCTGGAAGGCTCAGGTGCCAGGGTGTGGTAACAGAAACATCCAGGGCACCTCACCCCAGAAAGAGAATTAATGGGAGTACTGTGATCAGTCCAGAGTTCTGTATTTCAGAGCTCACCCAGGGGAAGAGAGGTAGTCATGGGTTTGCGTTCACCTGGATGTCAAGATGGTAGATTAGCTTTAAGATGGAGTCACTTATGCTCCTAACTAGATCATTTCATTTTATTACTCAATATTCCATTGTATGGATGAGTCACAGTTTGTTCATCCATTTATCTATTGAAGGTCGTCTTGGTTGCTTCTAAGTTTGGGCAATTATGAATAATGCTGCTATACATTTGTGTGCAGGTTTTGTGTAGGCATAAGTTTTCAACTCATTTGGGTAAATACCAAGGAGCACAATTGCTGGATCATATGAGAAGAATATGTTTAGCTTTGTAAGAAACTGCCGAACTGTCTTCCAAAGTGGCTATATCATTTTTGCATTCCCACCAGCAATGAATGACAGTTCCTGTTGCTCCACATTCTCACCAGCATTTGTTGTCAGTGCTTTGGGTGCCAACCATTCCAACAGGTATCTCGTTTTAATTTGCAATTCCTTAATAAAATAAGATGTTGAACATTTTTTTTTTAAACAAAAGCACCATTTTACTTGAAAGGACATCAGACAAACTGGCACATTTGGCTGATATTTCCCCCAAAATGAAAGGAGTGATCCTGTTCCTTCAAGGAAAACAAGAGACAGTATTTGCTGCCAATGATAAAATTTGAACTTTCAAGCGAAAATTAAAATTCTTATTTTGAAAATTAGAATTTGTATCTGCCGCTGTGAGTTGGCAGCTTCCCAACATTTAAGAGACTCTGCCTTTGGAAGAGATGCATAGCATAACTCAATGAAACAATGTTTGCCAAATGACTTTGTTTTCCAATGTCTTACTCGTGCATGATTTTACAATGTCATCCATGAGTAAAATGTCCATTCCAAATGCAAGATATACTAACAATTTTTATGTAATAGAGCATAAAGTTCACTGATATGGTTTCAAGTTCTACATCTGTGTAACCTTTAAAAACTACCACTTGAAAGTTTAGGTGTCATATCAAAGAAGGATATCCACAATTATCTAAAAGGCCATTAAAATGCTTCTCCCTTTTCCAGCTAAGTACCTGTGAGGCCAGATTCCCTTCCTATACTTACATCAATCAGCACCATTTCACAGCAGATGTAATTAATGCAGAACCAGCTATGAGAATCCAGCTGTCTTCAATTAAGCTCTCACAGTAGACATTTACACGTAAGACAATATTAAGTACTCTTTCCATGCAATTTTTGTGGTAATATACTTTTATTAATAAAAATGTTATTTATGTAAACATTTAATGGATTAACTCTTTTTTTTTTTTTAGTGAATCAATACAAACATTTCTCATATGGAAAAATATAACCCACATAAATAAAAGCTCTTTAAGGTTCTCAATAATACGGAGCAGTGCAAAGGGGTCCTGAGACCAAAAAAGTGAAAACCATTGCTCTTGGATGCCTTCTTCTTATCCTGATGGCCAACCCAGGGCAGAGAATTAAGATGTCACAGTGCTGTTTAAGACGAGCCTCTCTAAAAATATTCCCTGATGGACCACATTCTACTCGTTACCCCTATTCTGCATGCCCTCTTCAGTTATGTAGTTCTGGTTTCCCGTTTTCAATCCTCTGGTTCTTGGCAGGCACTGGGAAAGAGAATACAGGAACTCGCGTCCCCTCTCTGGGCTGGGGCAGCCCTTCCCGGGGCGTCCTCCAACTCCGCGGTCAACCTCTCTGGGGAAGCGTCTGACATATTCTCATCAGGGAGCCCTGCAGGGACACTACAACCTGGAGAGACCTAAGGGGCGCGGGGAAGCACCCAGGGAAGTTGCGGGAACTCAGAATCTTCCTCGGGTTTGAAAGCTCAGAGGGGCCTCAGAGGTGTCCTCGCGCCTCTTCCGTCACCAGGTGAGGCGAGGCCCACCCGCGCCCCTCGCGCCCCGCGCCGCCGTGACGACCCGAAGGCCCCTCGCTACGCCCTCTGCCGCCAAGCAAGGAGCCAGGAGCCGCCGGCTACGACCCTTCACGACAGTCAGAGCGCTTTCCGGCCACCCCTTGCTGATGTGTCGGGGAGGCGTGGCTTAGGGGGAGCAGCTCCTAGCGACACCTTAAGGTGCCGCAGGTGGCTGCTGTGGAGGACTGAACCTCCGCAGAACCATGGCTGTGTCTGGCTCGTCCTCGCGGGCCCCGCCCGGCTCAGGTAGGCTCAGAGTCCCACCCAGCGGCGGAGGGAGAGAGGGGCGCTGGCCTCAGAGTGGGGGGGCCAGGAGGACTGCCCTGTGGGACCTGGAGAAGGGGGCCTCGGTTAGGAAGGGGCTTGTAGAGAGAGAGGTTGCAGTCTGCTGCTTGGGGTGACGGTGACATTCGATTAGCCTGAGAGGTTCTGGAGCATTGGCGGGTCCTGGAGGAGGGGCTGCCCTGCAGGGATGTTCCTGGTAGAGATCAGTGGGAGAAGCAAGGTAGGCAGAAGCCCTTGGGCTGTGGGGGCTGTGATTTGGGAAGAATCGGGATTTTAAAGCATCTCCACCCGACACGAGCACACATCTTTCTGCATTTATTGGTTGCAGATAAAGTACAGAAAGACAAGGCTGGACGGACCTCAGGCCCCAGCCGCGCGAGGAAACTCTTGGGTTTTGAGTGGACAGATGTATCCAGCTGGGGAAGGTTGGTGACCCTGCTGAATCGACCAACGGATCCTGCAAGCCTGGCTGTCTTCCGTTTTCTCTTTGGTAAATCCAATTTCTGGGAGGGGCCAGTGTGGTTGGAGTGGGAGAATAACAACCGTCCCTTTCCATTTCGTGGTTATTTACTTAGTGGACTTATCTCCCTTTTTCTCACAGCTGAAGATATCAATATCCTGGAAGAGGTATTTGTGAAGTTTAGGATCAAGCCCAACTTTGTCTTTCTCCAATTAGGGTTTGGAGGCCAGAAATGCCTTGATATGAGGCAATAGGAAATATAGAAGTAGAGGAACAGGGATTCATTTTCCTTGTGTCATGAAGTTGCCCAGTATACTAAGGACTAGATTTCAGAGAAATGACAGGGGTGACAGGGCAGATATATTGGCTGTGACTCCCTAATCCAGAGCTTCCACTTGGAGTGGGTAACAGATATGCTGAGATATTAATCCCTGTAGCCCAATGGTTCTTAACTGGGGGGCATTTTTATTGTCATGTGTGTAGGAGGAATAGGTAGGTGGCTACTGGCATCTACATAGGAGCTAGAGATGCTGTTAACTGACCTATGACACACAGGATAACCCCTCCTAGCAAATAATTAACCAGTCCCAAATGTGAATGGTCCTGAGGTTGCGAAATGGTGCCTTAACTGGAACTGACTACTGACTTGAATAGCCCCTTCTGTTTACCCCAGTGTGTTGGCCAAATACTGCTGTTTTCTGGGTATTTCAGGAAGTGGAAAGGTTGAGAAGCACTACCTTAGAGCACTTTCTGTAGCCCAGTAGGACAGATCTTTATTAAACCTAAACAGCTTTTATAGCATTTTGTATGTTTCTCTAATTTAATCCTCTCTGTAACCCTGTAAAATATTATGAGCCCCCTTTTACAAATGGGGAATTGGCTCAATGAGGTGCAGTAGGTGATCACACAACTGGCATAGTGCCTAGCACATAGTAGGCACTCAGTAATTTTTGTTGGATGAATGAATAAATGGTAGAACCAGGGTTAGGAAAGAAGTCTGACCCTGGAGCTAGGTTCAATCGACTGTATCTGAATGTATCCCACTGCTTCCTTTGCTGAAGCCTAATGGGTCCCTCCCCAACTGCCTTCTCAGGGCTGTTGATGTTGCTGGACATTCCCCAGGAGAGGGGGCTTAGCTCCCTGGACCGAAGATACCTGGATGGGCTGGATGTGTGCCGCTTCCCCTTGCTGGATGCCCTGCAGCCACTGCCGCTGGACTGGATGTATCTTGTCTATACCATCATGTTTCTGGGTGAGGGAAACTATGGGAATATTGATTGGCCTACGTAAAACAGAGCAGTACAAAGCATGCTGGCGAATGAACAAGGTCTTGGGTTCCTTATTTCACTTCTGTTGTCACTCATAATTTCATCCTGCTGACCTGTGTGTCATCTGAGCTGTGACCCAATAGCTCTTTTTAAAAATATTAAAATAACATTTAATTTTCATTTAGTTGTACCTGATTGTAAAATGTGCGATGAGTTTTCTTAATTCCACCCACAGCCTGTCCTAGGGGAGCTGGGCCTATGGTGACCCTTTGACCTCTTAACCTTCTCCCCCACAAATCCCAGGGGCTCTGGGCATGATGCTGGGCCTGTGCTACCGGATAAGCTGCGTGTTATTCCTGCTGCCATACTGGTACGTGTTTCTCCTGGACAAGACGTCGTGGAACAACCACTCCTATCTGTATGGTTTGTTGGCTTTTCAGCTGACATTCGTGGATGCAAACCGCTACTGGTATGAGTCTAGGGAAAAAGAGGGGAGGGGTCGGCTGAGTCAGGATGGTTACCAGAGACAGAGACCTGTTGAGGTCCTAGAATTTGCTCCAGCAAGCATTTCAACAATGCTTTGCAAAGGTCTCACTTTAATTTGGATGAACTTGGGAGGGGGAAGGGTCAGCGAGATTGGGGCACTTGGGATGACAAAAAGCAAAATAGCTCTATTCCCACCCCTTCACTTTTTCTATATCTCCCCAGGTGCCTTGATCTATCTACTTCCTGTAATCCTCTTAGACAGAAGACGAGAAGGCTAAAGCCAGACATAGCTGTTTTCAGATACTTCAAGGGTGGTCATGTGGAAGAGGGAGCAGACTTTCTCTATGTGAGCCCAGAGGGGCAGAGTTAGAGCCCAGAGTAGAAGTTGCTGTGAGGCAGAGTCATATCAGAAGGAGAGGGCCCACTAGGGCTGCTCAGCAGTGCTGTCCTGGGAGGAGGTAACTCTCCCCCACCTCTGGCTTAGGTGACCATCTTTCAAGGGAGGTGGAGAAGGGATCTGGAGACAGGATGGCAGGGCAGATCACCTTTAAGGATTTTTCCCATTAAGTGAAAAGGGAATCAGATCTGAGAAAGATGGGTATAGGTAAAAAATCTCAAGCACTGAATATGTTAGTGATTTATCAGTCATTAAATTTCATTCGTTAATACACATACAAATACTCCTTTTGTAAACCATTAAACTCATTCAGAATGGCCAGCTCTGATTGTATAGAATTAAGAGGCAATTTTGACTGAATACTCCTGAAAAGTTTTATTTTTTGAAAAAATACATACCACTTACTAAGGGCTTTCCACATACCATGCTAAACACTTTAATTTTCCTCATTATAACCCCATGAGGTTCATAGTGCTGTTCCCATTTTATAGATGAAGATTATTAAGGCTAGAGAAGTAAATGATTTGCCTAAGGTCACATAGCAGGAAGAGGCACAAGTAAGAATCAAGGTCTCCTTAGCTACAGACTCCATTGCTCTTGACCACAGCATAAGCTGCCCCTTTCCCAACTTCTCAGCTTATTCATTGTCTTCTTGAAAATTTGCTTTGTGCTCTAGCCAGTTTGGCTCAGTGATTAGAGCCTCGGCCCAAGGACTGAAGGATCCTGGGTTCGATTCCAGCCAAGGGCACATACCTCAGTTGCAGGCTCAATCTCTGGCCTGGGTTGGGGCACATGACAGAGGCAGTCAATCAATGTGTCTCTCTCACATCAATGTTTCTCTCTCTCTTTCCCTCTTCTCCCTCTCTCCCTCCTCCCCCCCTTTCCACTCTCTCTGAAAAGCCATGGAAAAAATATCCTTGGGTGAGGATTAAAAAAGAAAAAAGAAAATCTGCTTTGCTTCTGCCTCCCCAGAATACATCTAGTCTTAGAGCCTGGGTTTATCTCTTCTTTCCCAAGATAGGCTGTTAGTAGGTACCCTCGGCACTAGATCTTGGCATCCAGTTCTATGAAATGTCAGTTTGTTTTGGCTATTGAAATTTTAAAAAAATGTGCTATATATGTTTATATATAGCTTAAGCTTTTTAAACACTTCCTCAAATTCATTCTTTTTCAAATTCAGTCATATTCTAGCATTGTAGCCTTTTTCCTGACTTATTCCATTCAGACAAACTGATTTAGTAATAATGGTAAACACTGAACTTTTTGTTGTTATAACTCACTGGTAAAATTTCTGTTGTGAGTTAAAATATTCCCTGTTACAGTTTTCGCATATAATTCTAAAGGGCCCCAAAATAGCCCAGAGGACCAGAGAGGGTATGGGAGTTGTTTTGAGATAGATTATTACATTTAAAAAGAAAGGTGGAAATGTGGCTGAACTAAGAAACTCTCCTCAATCCTTACCTTCCTTGGTGTAGGTCTGTGGATGGCCTGCTGAATGCCCGGAAGCGGAATGCACATGTGCCTCTTTGGAACTATGCTGTGCTGCGGGGCCAGGTACAAGATTTCAGGAAAAGGGGAGGTCTTCTTTGACAGCCATTGTCAGCATGGTGATCCCACTGCCACACTGCACTCTACTCTGCCTCCCTGGATCTTCTCTTTTTCTCCTTTTGATGGAAGGCTAGGCTGCCTTATCTATTGTTTTCAATACCCTAATCTCTAGGATCTCTTACCTTGTCATGGAAAGAGTAGAGCTTTGTCCTCACCACGAGAGAGAATGATGTCTATGCTTTAATGACTTTTCTTGCTGCCTAATCCTATGCCTGGCATTGGTAGGATGTCAGTAGGTACTTGTTGGATGAGTGCGTATCTGACATGAGTGAACAGAAGAATGGAATTAATCTTCTGAACCAAAATGAGAACTTATTCTATTTTTAATTGTCTGCAGAAAACAAAGTTCTTTTTTTTTATTGTTTAAACATTTGTTTTGCATTTTGTGTTTGCAGATTTTCATTGTATACTTCATTGCGGGTGTGAAAAAGCTGGACGCAGACTGGGTGGAAGGCTATTCCATGGAGTATCTGTCCCGGCACTGGCTCTTCAGTCCCTTCAAGTGAGTGGCAGTCAGGGCAGAGGCCTCACTGAGGCACAGGTACAAAGTGGGTGACTCACCTCTGTCATGTCTGCAGTAATGGCTGTTGTTCCTACTTTGCCTGAGTTTGCAACATGCTTTCCTCTGTCCATTCATCTCCCTATTCAGCAGAAGGCAGAACTGATGACAGCAAAAGATCTAGGCCTAGCTGCCCCTGTGAAACTTACAGTATGGATGTCAACGAAGGGAAAGAATTTTAAAAAGGAGAGGAAAGAGCTAGAACTAGGTGACTTGGTGAATGAGTCAGTGCTCCCAGCAGTTGCCATGCATGGTGCCTGTGTCCTTGGGTTCCCATCCCAGCCTCTTGCCAGGATTCCTCAGCCAGTGTACTGAGAAGGTGCACAGTCAGTGTCCCTGCCCTGATAGAACCAGTGTTACCAGCTCTTTAAAAAGCAGAGGTTTGCCTCTCTGATTTCTCTTCCTCCCGGTTCTCCTTTTCTCGTTTTACTTTGTTCTTTTTACTCTTCCCTGTTATTTCCCAGTTCCTGTAGTTTGACTTCAGTATCATGTTAGTCAAGCATTCATCTTTGAAAGTTTCTTCTCATTTATAACCTCCATGAAGAACCTGCCTGCCACAGCACACACACTTTTCAATCAGATTTATCCTAGGAGATTTGCCCTTGCTTATTATAGAGCGTATGCTGAAAACAATTGGATGCCTAAAGTGTGTGGAAATGTACAGGGGTTGGAAAACCCATGGGGTGTCTTTGTGCAGAGTTCTGTCCACCTGCTGGGTGGATGCTTTGGCCAGAATGGGGTGGCAGAAGTACATTTGCTGTGAATATGCTGTGCAAGCTGGGCTCTCCAGTGGGCTGGTGCCTGACCCTGTCCCTGGTGTCTGCAGACTTGTATTATCTGAGGAGATGACTAGTCTACTAGTGGTACACTGGTGTGGACTGCTGCTTGACCTCTCAGCTGGTTTCCTGCTCTTCTTTGATGCCTCAAGATCCATTGGCCTCCTCTTCGTATCCTACTTCCACTGCATGAATTCCCAGCTTTTCAGCATTGGTCAGTAACTATAGTCTGGTAGAAATAGGAAACCACAGATTTGCTGGGAGGGACTTGCCAGAGGCATTGTTTGGGACAGGAGATGATGATGGGAGTAGGAGCTAAACTGAGCCATAAGCAGTCACTGTGGAATGGAAATAAATGGGGAGCAGAGGATTGGGGCTTCTGGGCTCAGCCAGTATGTTGCATAATAAGGAATCTCTGGGAAGTATCCTTTAGTTAAGAACTTCTGTCATCATAAGGGGAATATTTGGGAGAGGTTTCTTAAGGGGAAGGGGTTGAGGGGATTACCCGCATTTCCCCAAACCAAACTCCTGAAATGCTTACTTACTCCTTGCTCTTCTAGGTATGTTCCCCTATGTCATGTTGGCCAGCAGCCCTCTCTTCTGCTCCCCTGAGTGGCCTCGGAAGCTAGTATCTCACTTTCCCAAAAGCCTGCAAGAACTGCTGCCCCTCAAGGCTGCCCCTCAGGCCAGTGCTTCCTGCATGTATAAAAGGAACCGGGCCAAAGGTGGCCAGAAGCCAGGGCTGCGCCATCAGCTAGGTGCTGCCTTCACCCTGCTCTACCTCCTGGAGCAGCTCTTCCTGCCCTATTCCCATTTCCTCACCCAGGTATGTATAGGCTGGGGTGACAGCTGTAGACAAAAAATGCGGCTGGTTTTGTAGCGCTTTCTTGGTAGAGGATGAGATTAGCATAAGAACCACTGAGCTGATTACCTCTGCCTTGCCTTCTCAGGGCTATAACAATTGGACAAATGGGCTTTATGGCTATTCCTGGGACATGATGGTGCACTCCCGCTCCCACCAGCATGTGAAGATCACCTACCGTGATGGCCTCACTGGCGAGCTGGGCTACCTTAACCCTGGGGTGAGATTTCTGATGCTGATAATTTACTGTTCTTCAGAGCTCCCTTGAGTTTTGGGGACTGGTTTGACCCTAAACATAACTGTAAAATAAAACAAATTTGGGTCTCTGCCCTTTCTCAGGAGCCAGGTTGAACCTTCTTTTATGTGGGTTGAAATAGGGCAATGTTATTTAGTTCCTTGACTTGAGATTAGATTAAAGAAAGATAAGTACCACCACTAGCCCAGCAATGAAAAATTTCCCCCCAAAAACAAGTTGTTTTTTTTCTGGTCAAAACGGCCAGATCTCTTTGTACCATTGGCAGTGCATGACTCATTCAGGAGGTCAATAATGATGAGGTGGGACTAATATGGGGGTTTGGGACAGGTATTCACACAGAGCCGGCGATGGAAGGATCATGCAGACATGCTGAAGCAATATGCCACTTGCCTGAGCCGCCTGCTTCCCAAGTACAATGTTACTGAGCCCCAGATCTACTTTGATATTTGGGTCTCCATCAATGACCGCTTCCAGCAGAGGTGGGCAAGGGGAGCAGAGAAGGGGGAAAAAGGAAGTCCAGCTCCTTTTGCCAAGATGAATAGCCATGCTCCCCAGTGTTGTCTTGCTTGAAAGGCTGTCCTCTCATGCATGTCCCTGTTGACCTGGTTGTGGGCATAGCTGATTGCTTCCAGCAGGGGGCACCATTATCCAGAAGAAAAGGTAATGACTTGTCCTGCTAGAAACTTAACACCATTCTCAGATGGCCACTAATCCTCATTCTTCCCAGTGCTCCAGAATCTCTTTCCCCTCTCTTTCTGCCCACGACTGGTAATAACATGCTGACATAGGCCATTTTTTTCTATCTGGAAACCCTGTTCCCTCTATCTGGGAGTGGTGATGAAACAGAACTGGAAATTCTGGTGGGTAGGTGGCTGTGGCCTTCTTAAAATATGGTTTTCTTTCCTAAGGATCTTTGACCCTCGTGTGGACATCGTGCAGGCTGCCTGGTCCCCCTTCCGGCGCACACCTTGGGTGCAGCCATTGTTGATGGACCTGTCTCCCTGGAGGGCCAAGTTACAGGAAATCAAGAGCAGCTTGGACAACAACACTGAGGTGGTCTTCATTGCAGATTTCCCTGGTATGGAAGAAGGCTAGGAGAGGTTTTGTTGTCTTTCCTTCTGGCTTCCTTGGTCAGAGACATTGCATGTGGTGGAGGAGGGAGGGGGCACTACTGGAGGGAGGAACGTTTTGAAATCTGAGGGGTGGTAGTGGTGAAGGTGTGATGTCTCTGTGCTGGCTGTGAGTTCACTCTACCATGGTGTGGGTTGGGGAACTTTGTTGCCCCTGTCAGGGCTGCACCTAGAGAATTTTGTGAGTGAAGACCTGGGCAACACTAGCATCCAGCTGCTGCAGGGGGAGGTGACTGTGGAGCTGGTGGCAGAACAGAAGAACCAGACTCTTCAGGAGGGAGAAAAAATGCAGGTATTTTTCTGGAATTAACAATAGCAGAAAAGTTTAGATGAGTGGAATTAATTTATTTAGACCCAAAATGCTCTACCATAGCAGTAATGCTGTGGGGGCTCAAAAAGCAGAGACCTCTGGGGCTATGAATAGTCTCACCCAGGATTCTATATGTCAGTTCCTTTGTACTCCAAAAGATGCCTGGTGGGTTGGGGATCAGGTAGTGTTTGGAGCCCATAGGGCTGGCTAGAAAAAGTTTAAAGAGTGATATATATTCATTTCTACCCCCTGATCAGTTGCCTGCTGGTGAGTACCATAAGGTGTACACAGTATCACCCAGTCCTTCTTGCTACATGTACATCTATGTCAACACTACAGAGGTTGCACTGGAGCAAGACCTGGCATATCTGCAAGAATTGAAAGAGAAGGTGGAGAATGGAAGTGGTGAGTAAATAAAGATTTGGGCTGAGGTAGCCTCTGCTCTGGGTACAGGAAGTTAGGGTTGTAAATGAGGATCTAGCCATTAAAAAATGAACTTGAAGCCTCTAGCTGATGAAAGGGGAGTTCTAGGAGCGAGAATGCTCTGTCTCTCAGAGTGATTCCTCTTTTTGCTGACTTCTGAGCAGAAACAGGGCCTCTACCTCCAGAGCTGCAACCTCTGCTAGAAGGGGAAGTAAAAGGAGGTCCTGAGCCAACACCGCTGGTTCAGACTTTTCTTAAACGCCAGCAAAGGCTCCAGGAGATTGAACGCCGGCGAAATACCCGTTTCCATGAGCGATTCTTCCGCTTCTTGCTGAGAAAGCTGTATATTTTTCGCCGCAGGTAAGTTTTATCCACAGTATTTGTCATTGTTACCAGATGTTTGGAAGCTAGGTAACTTTTCTCTGGTGAGGGTAACAGTAGGGACTCTCTCCCAGGAAAGGACAATCTAGGGCTAAATATCTTTTCCCCTCCATTCTCCTCTCCCTGATTTAATGGGAGAGTAAATGATGTATGTCTGATGGCCTGCTGTCTTGCTCTGCCTCAGTTTACCTCGCCTTCCCATGGGTTATTCCTGCCCCACCCTGGAATCCTCTAGCAGACTGTATAAGGAGTGGAGTGCCTTTCCAGCTGGGATGTGGGGGTCCCTGGAGGGCCATTCCCCTTTATGCCTGGGTGAGAGGAAGTAGGACCAGGTGCCCCATAAGGGCTTTGGTAGGAATTCCTACGTTGAAAAGTGTTTGGACTGGTGGCCTTTTTCCTCTTTTTCAGCTTCCTGATGACTTGTATCTCACTTCGAAATCTGGCATTAGGCCGCCCTTCCCTGGAGCAACTGGCCCAAGAGGTGACTTATGCAAACTTGCGACCCTTTGAGCCAGTTGGAGAGTCGAATCCTTCAAACACAGATTCTTCAAATTCTGATCCTCCTGAACCAAATTCTGACCATATCCACTCAGAGTTCTGAGAGGAGCCAGACATTGGGGACAGATGTGGGAGCAGCCAGTCACAGGGTCATTATCTATGCAATGGAGATTTGAAAAATTTTTTACAGATATTTACATTTCTTTTCCTTGTCCATAGCTCTTTTAAATTCAGAGATGATTAACTTAGAGGAGCCAAGAAGGTAAAGCAAGGATAAGATTTATCAACCCAAGGTTTAGAGACTAGGGAGGGGGTTAAAAGCAATGTGAAAATGTCCTTCTAGGATAAAGGGGGAAGTCAGGTTTAAAGTGACTGGCTCCTTGGGGAAAAAGATTTCATGTACTTTGATGAAAATAGTAGCTAATTATTCTCAAGTGCTTGCTCTGTGCTAGGCACTGTGTAAAGTACTGTGCCTACATTATTACACTTAGTTCTTAATGGTCGTTAGTCTTATTTTGCAGTTGGAGAAACTGAGGCTTAGAGGTACCATAATTTGCTCAAGGACATAAACCTAGTAAGGGCCGATTGATGGTTTGAACCTTATGTCTGACTTAAGGTCCTGCACCTTTGTACCTTATAATTTTCACAATCACAGTGATTCTGAAATGTAGCTTAAAACTTGTCTTCTTAATTATAAGTATGATTTTGATGGTGATCAGGTTCTAAAGGCACAGAGAAATTTTCTCTTCACTACAATTCTGGTTCCTTGTTTCTCGTATCTATATAGCTGGTAAATTTTTCACTAGCAGTTATAAGAACAGTTAGAAGAGCAGAAAGTTAAACTAATAAGGAAATTTAGATGATTGGTAGTAGTATTCTTCTAAAGATAAGCTGAATTTTTAGCATTATTCTAGCATTTAGTGACAAAGTAATGTAAGTATTAACCAAACTTGGTGAGGGATCAGGGAATGTAGGTTTGGATATACAAAGGTAATCAAGGAAACTCCTGAGTTCCATGAAAATTCAAAGGACTGGCACTGGGCTAGAAATGAGGATGAATAGGTTAAAAATAGTAATAATAGAGCTCATGGTCTTATAACACAGACTGGCAGTAAATTGGCAGTTCCTGTAACTTTGTTAAAGGATTGCATCTGTTTTCATGCTTCACTTCCCATACCCTCCCAACCCCCTTGGACAGTGGTCTTAGGGTTCTTTCCCAGACCCTTTTTTTCACCATATCACTTAAGATGATGATGTCTATTCTATGGTTTCCAGTAATGCTGCTGCTTAGATTTCTTTCCTGTGCCCTACACCTGTATATCTATCTCCACCTCAATATTCCATGGAGCTTTCAAACTCTGTTCAGAACAGAACTTAGCTTCATCCACAACTCAAGACCTGCTTCTTCTTTGTGAATGGCAACTGATTTTTTTCACCTTCTGAGTCATCAGCCTTAAATATTTTCCCTCACATTTCTTGTAATTTCAAGTCCCATCAGTTCTCTTATTTCATCTCTACTCTGTTCTTTCAGCCGTTATATTGGAATCTAGTTAGGGAGACCAGAGCGGGGCTACCATGTTGTTGTACAGGTTGGGTCTAAATAAGGGCACCCCACTAAAGCCAAGTGGGGCCTGGCAGTAAGGCCCCTTGATTCATATAAGGCATTGTATGTAATGGCTGTGCCATAGGGTATGTTTTTTTAACCCTCACCTGAAGATATTTTTTCCATTGATTTTTTTAGAGTGGAAGGGAGTGGGGAGGGAAGAGAAACATTGATGTGAGAGACACATCAATTGGATGCCTCCTGCACATGCCTACACTGGGGCTGGGGATCTAACCTGCAACTGGGGTACGTGCCCTTGACTGGGAATAAAACCCGTGACCCTTTGGTGCACTGGCCAAAGCTCTAACCACTGAGCCACACCTGCCAGGGCACCACAGGGTATCTTGAGCTCTTAGTAAGAATGGTGTGAGCAACACTGGTTTTCATTTCTTTTGCTGCTCTCTCAGTGACACAACATACCTCAGCAGTATGTCCTTTGCTAGTAACTTCAGCTATCTTCTTTTGTTCCTGTATCCATCACCCTCCCCTTTGGTAAGGAAAGTAGCTCTCCTTCACTTTGGGAGGGGACTCTTGCAAGGATGCTGCTATTCCCAGACTGTGTACCACCTGACTCATTTTCCCAATGAAAATGTTGGGATGGGATAGAGAAAAGGGTGGTCATCTTAACTGGTAAAAGTTGTTCAGTGGAGTAAATCTGGGTTATTCAGATTTCAGGATTGGGTTATCAGTGTCCTTTTAGCCAGAAGGCTTTTTCGTATTTTCATTCTGTGACCAGCACTTTGATCTTGTCCTTGATGGCACTCTTTTGAAACGTTGTAGAAAGGCAAGTGTTTAGGACATTTTCTGTAACATTTCACTTTCTCAGCTGTTTGTAACCACCCTCATCGTTTCATGCCTTTGCTCCTAACTCTTCTCCCTGGGTTAATGCTCCTCCACCTATCTTTGTTTCCCCCAAAGATAGGAAAAGCACCTCTCTGTAGGCATCTTCCTAGCAAGTATTAAATCTAACCATAAGGCAGTTACTTCCCTGATGCTGCCCCACCAGCCTGCAGGCATCCACTCACCCCCAGATCCCCTTATTTGGCCAATGTGGTTGTCTTTAGACAGCAGTGCATTGACATCTAAGAGCGAAAACATTCTGGAGCCTTTCAGCGTTGTGCAAGTTGGAAGTTCTCAAGTTCCTGAGCAAATCAGAAAAGCTCCATTGATACTAAGATTTAACCATGCCTCCCCCCTCCATTTCTAAATTTTTAAGCCTCCAGGCAAACAGGTATAAGCAAGCATTCCTTGGGTCTCTCATTTGCAGCAGATCTAAGTAAAAAGTTGAATCACTACTTGGTTTCCTACATGCTGGTGTAAACATGCCACCTGGCTCCTGTCTGTACTTCAGCTCAGTTGGCTCAAGAAAGGATGGTTCAAGCTATGGGGATTAACTTCCTATAAAAAACTGCCACAAATCTAGAGCCCTTTGGAAATTTGTATCTTTACTGTTTTATTTAAATAAAATTTAGTTTATTTAATTGTATCTTAGATTGGAAGCTGGTTTGTTTAAAAACTTTTCAAATTGTAATGTGTACAGAACATACAACTCGCAGCCTAAGTAAATGGTTTAATACTTAAGGTATATTAATTTTTCACATTAGTTGAGTTGAAAATGGGTTTAGATTTTCAAGACTGAACATTACCACTTCCATAATACAGGCATCCCCTCACTTTCCAAGTCTGCATTAAGCTGCCACTTTTACAAACCCGTTAGTACCTGTTTGTGTTAACAGAGGAATCCGATGAGGCTTTTTGCATTTATTAAAAAAACTGTTACAGTACTCTTTGCTCTACACCATTTTGGGCTTACAAAAGATATCAGGTAGTGGGCGAAGCCTGTACTGTATTAGTAGTTTTTATGCCCTTAATCTTAGGTAACAAAGCATTTGCAATGTAGCAATGGCTGCTGCAATACACCCATGAAATTTTGGCTATTCCATTGGCTAAAAAAGGCAATGCTTGAAAAACCAAAGCAAATCTTGAACTTTCTTAGTGCTACTAAATGCCTGCAGTGAGGGTTGAGATGATTGCCCCAAACAATTACAATCAGGGTTAGTGTATTCTCAGGTCACATTCATACCAGAACACTTTTAAAGAATAACGGACACAGTTAAGGTAGAACCTAGCATTTTATTTAGATCTTCATTAAACTGTTGGAATTGAGAACCAGACATACGTAATAAACCTCCAAAAATAGATCCTGAAAGGCACTTTCTGCTTAGGGCAAGCAGTCATGGAATAAGCATGTAAACAAGCTGGCTTCTCTGTACCACACCAGCCAAGTCAGCTTTCTCCATGGCCAGCCGCACCAGCTCTGCCCTCCCTTGTTAACACCAGCCAGAACCCCTGTAGGTCTAACCCAAGGTTTTTCTGTAGGACACCTTGGCCTACCTGGGAATGCTGGAAACATTAAAGGAATCATGGTGTTGAGGAAAAAAAAAAAAAAGTCTTTTAAAAGCTGCCATCTGAGGTGATGGCTTCTCTGTACTTACGCCATACCCCAGAATACAATAAATAATTAGAAAATGTTCAAGTATGAAGGGATTTTCCTCCTCCCCGCCAAAAGCACTGCTCTCTGAAGGAAGCTGGTTTCTCTGTAGCTACACCAGCTGTTCAGAAAGCTCATTGGACCTGGTTTTGAAAATAAAACAAAGTTAAAACCCTGGGAGGAATTATTGTGCAGTGTGGAGTACTTAGTCTTTCTTATAAAGAAAAAAAAAAAAAAAAGTTATCTGGTACCAAAGTGTGCAACCTACAGACCCTCAGGTACTGCCCTATGACTTCTCTGTATGACATCACAAGGGTGCCAAGTGCCTGTTTTTCTAGAGCTAGGAGTTGGTGGTTTGGCTAGTGCTGAAACCATGCATAGGATTGGTTTACTAAATAAAACCTTATTACGTACGTCCTCCAAAAGACAGCTGAATAAGTGGAGAGATTTGATTTGGTGCTGTTTAAGAGATGGCAATTAAGAGCATAAGCACCAGGGAGATGGTTTAATGGTAACTGCCTTTTTTTAAAACGTCAGGCTAGAGCTCCAAATGGAACTTGCGTTACATGCAAGAATGACTGAATAGGGGACACTCCCTGACAAAGAGCTACATAATTAGAAATGGATCATGTTATAGGGAGGGTAAGGGAAAGCTTCACATCCATAATAGAGCTGGAGACATTACAAATTCATGCTGACAGGACTGTGGCATTGCCAGACAGAAGCTATAATGGAACTATAAGTACTTTACGTGCACATTACAAGGACATTTTCAGCATTTGGTGAGAAAGTAAATGCAATTAGAATTTTAGGGGGTTGGGTGATAGGGCACAAAGGTTCAATTTCAAAGCATTATTTACTACAGTGTTGTTGGTTTGTTTCTAGGCAGTTACATGGATCACCTATGCTCACTAAATTCATTATAATGGTGAACAAAAAACCTAGGGACAGAATAGCAAGCTGAACTTACAGTCCCCCACACAAGCTAAAATTCATGTCATTGACTAGAGTGACTGCAACTGATCAGGAGCTAAAAGAGGACAGGAAAATTTAGGAAGAAGGGCCCTTTCCCTCAGAGCTTGAAGGCTTCTCTGTAGCCTACGCCAACAAGTCTGGGGAAAAAAGGCTAACACTTTTAATATTTAAGCTTTCTGGGCACTTCCCATGGGAAGCTGTCCCTACCAAAGTGGCCATAGGCTGCAGTCCTCTGATAAATTGGCTTCTTCAGATCCAGATCCCTGGAATATACAAGTCCATAACTTAATATGTAGCAGTCAATTAAAATTAAGCAAAACAATCAGCAAGACTCATTTTCAAGACTTCTGGCAAATGAGTTCAGTTCTCTGGGGTATGCTAGGAAAAAAGTTTGTGGCAAAAGTGTTTGTTACTTCCCTGGTGTCCAAACTCCTTGCACAGTCCTTATCAGTAACTATAGTTCTTGTTTTTCAGTGTCTGGCTCAACAAATATGAAAACTTGTCATTATTCTGAGAAGTTTCAAGTGTCAAAAGCTCATCTGAGATCATGGAATACTTACCAAAGTCCCATGCCCACACTCTACCATGGTTATTTTCTTTGTTAATAGCCTTGAACATTCCATTTATCTGTACTAATTTCTTTGAAGTAAACATTCTTAGGTAAGATGAGCACAAAGCCCAATATCAAATGTGGAAGACTCTCTAGGGTGGTTAAGTCTAAGCCATGAAGCAGTGTACTTTTGGATTTTTCTTAATAATTTAAGCCTTTACTGAAGGCAACTTACAACACCAACACATTCTAAGGAATTAAAATGTTCCCCCATTTGAAGAGTCTTCCTTCACACATTCACCTTTTCAGATTAAAATATATCTCAAATATATACATACACCCATACCCTTAATATATTTCACTAGCAATAGGCTTTACCATCTTTACCTGACAATGACCCCAGGGCGGAGGTCAAAATTCTTCTTCACAATCTCTA